TGGACGACGGAAATTCTAGATGGATGTGATTGGGCCAGACGAGAAAGCTTGTGCATAGTACCGGAGTTGGAACGGCGTCATGAATGTAAACTATTGGGATCATGGCATTATCTGCACAGGAGGTTATACCAAGCAGGAGGAGCGCAGTCATTTCCACGGGGGTTGATAGCGCTCACAAACCTAGCGCAATACAGAAGCTTCATCAGGTGCTTCCTATGTTCTACACTTGTTGAGTTTATTGTGAGGCTGTCGAACAAGATACTAACGTTCGTATACTCGCTGGATACGATATACGCGGGTCGACGTCAGCAGTGGTCTAAGCTCGAAAGTGGGTTGTCCAAAGAACACCAAGCCTCCCGCACCCTCAGCCATCCCGCTCAAGATGCAGAAACGGGCGCCACCCGCACGATTATGGCCCCCGTGAAGCGCAGAGATCTGGTCTTCGCCGCTATCGCCGTCTTCATCGCCTGGGGGTACCTGACCCATTGGCAGCCCAAGCTGCACTACCTGCCCTACGCCTTCTTCGCCGGAGTACTCGCGACGCTTGCCCTGGGAGCATGGCTCACCTTCACGATCGCCTGGGACACAGACCTACGAAGCGGAGGAAAGGTTGACTATGGACCGCGCCACGTCGCCTTCGTTGCGCCGGGCAGGTGGAAGGCTGAGCGGGAGGCTTTGGACATGAGGAACATGTACATGATGGAGCCGCTATACCCCGCGTCCTTCATGATATCAGACAGCATCGACGTGCTCATTGGGCTGATACTGCGCGACTTCGTGAAGAGCTGGTATGGCAGTATCAGCAAAAGCCCAACATTTGTCAACGAGGTGGACAATGCGATACGGGCTGCAATGGGCGAGATTCGGGAACGCATACTGGCAGTAGATATGGTCGAGACAGTCGTATCGCGCATGATACCTCTTATCACCGATCACTTGCGGGCGTCATACGAGGCAGAGCGCATAGTCCGCGGACGCAAGCTGTCGCGGAACATCACAGATTCTGAGGAGCTTGATCTGGCCATCGCAGCCAAATACAAGGAGGGCCGGTTGCACCCGGCGGCGTCGTTGGCATACTCGAATACCAAGCCTATACAGCAGCAACATCTACGAAGCATCGTCACGCGACTACTGCCAAAGATTATGCCTGCGAACATGTCAACCAGTCCCGCTGTCAATGTACTGATCAAAGAGCTTGTGGCCTGCGCAGTCCTCTCTCCTGTGATGCAGATGCTCGCTGACCCAGACACATGGAACCAGCTCATGGAGGGCTACGTAAGAACTTACCCGCTCATCGTAGACCGTTGCTAATAAGCTCAGGGACGATCGTTAATACAGGAAAGGAAAACTGTCCGCAAGATTCGAGCTGCTCTCGATGAACATGCTCCGCCCTCACCGAAGAACCCCAAGAACGTCCAGTTCCCAAAGCTTGCGCCCGGCGATAACGAACGACGGTTCGAACGTTTCATACGAGCCATCAGGCAGACCAATACTCTTGCAGATGCTAGACGATTTCGCAGCGAAGTGTCAAGTCAATTGCGGAAGGATTCCACGGTAGAAGATCAAGACCCTGTCTATCTGCGGCGCCTGGAAACAGCGCGACAAATCTTGGATACAAAGGTCACCAACCTCAGTGCTGGTGGCTCGGTGCGGGCAAAGGTTGCTGCGCAGGAGAAGCCGAAGCACAAGCGTACTTCGTCCAAGTTCGCAAATGCGTCTCTGCGCGAAGTGCTGTACGATGCCTCAGGACTGTCTTGCTTCATGGAGTTCATGGACCAGGCGGACCTGATGCGGCTGGTGCAGTTTTGGATCGTGGTGGACGGTTTTCGCAATCCACTGGAAGTAGAGACTGAAGAAGCGCCGGACTATATAGGCTCTCTTCCTGCATGGACAGAGTCTGACCGTGCAGACCTGGCGCAGATCTACGACGGATATTTGTCGAACCCGGAGTTGAAGATACTTCCCGAAGCTCGACAAGCAGTCTCTGAGTTTCTCAAAGCCGGGCGGAAGGCGACTCCGCAGCAGTATCATAATGCGCGACGTTCTTTGCTCCAAGCTCAGACAGCGGCGTACGAACAATTACAGGAACCCTACTTCCGAAGGTTCAAGAAGTCCAACTTGTATTACAAGTGGTTGGCCATGGACGAGGCGGCGAACGCTCAGAACAGCAGTGTGAATACGAGGACTGTAGCGCAAACACTCGACAATTCGTCTGCGGCTGCACCTGCTATGATTCGCACCCAGTCAAGGCAGAAGAGCGCATTGCAGATACCACAAGGAGACTTGCGTCGAGCTGTCGCATCGTCATCAGATCTCAAGAGCCAAGGAGCCGTCAAAAACGCTGAGCCACCTGCACGACGTTCTTTGGATGTACACAGGTCATTATCTGCACGCGCACCTCTCTTCGACGAGGATTACGACTCAGACCCTCTCGCACACTCGACCGCAAGCCTCAATTCAGACTTTGGTCATGACCGCTCCAATGGCAACAATACGCAGGTCGTCGATGCTATGCAGGCTGCCATCATCGACATTATGGACGAGCCTGAGGGTTCAATATTCTACGAGCCTGGTCTGAAATCGCCACTAGACAGTGTTTCCATGCGAGGATCCGTCGATCTACCACGAGCGTCATCCCCAGCCCCACAAGCACAATTGCAGCAAAGCAAAGACAGTCTCAAGCCAAGCATAGCGTCCCTTGGCTTGGTTGGAGAGCCTAGAACGCGCGGTGTCTTTGATGATGACCTGTTTGGTGATGAAGAAAGGTTCATGGAGGACGAGATCGATGACCCAGTCCCGAGGAGCAAAGCAGAGGAGGAAGAGATCCACGAGGCGGCGCCTGGAGACCTGGGTCTCGCCGAGGCTATCGATGCGCTTACTGCTGATATTGAGCGCCTGGTATCCCAAGAGTCTATCGTCGACTCGCTTACATCGAAAGCTGAGTTGACAAACAACGCTGCAGAACTGAGGATCTTGCGAAAATCGAAAGCTAGCCTTCAGCGAGAGATACAAAGAAAAGAGTTACAGCGTCAGCAGTACATCGTTCAAGAGAGCGACAACAGCTTGTATGGACGCGCGACCGTGTTCATTCAATCGATTATGGTCGGCACAGAGGAAGATGGTAAGGAGTATGCTATGTACGTCATCGAAGTACGACGACGTGCTGGTGACCAGATGCCTGCCGCTACTTGGGTAGTCTCACGACGATACAGCGAGTTCCACGAATTGAACAAAAGACTTCGCGCCAAGTTTCCGCAAGTCCGAAATCTGGAGTTCCCGCGCCGGCAGATGATGCTGAAGCTCCAGAAAGACTTCCTGCACAAGAGACGGCTTGGCCTTGAGAAGTATCTAAGGGAACTTCTACTCATCCCAGCTGTGTGCCGCAGCCGCGAACTACGCGCCTTCCTCTCACAAGCTGCGATCAGCCCCGCCGACGCCTTGCGCAACCAAGATCCAAACTCCAACGACTTCGTAACTCGCATCTACAACTCAGTTGCCGATGGCATGGAAGAGTTCCTGGGCAACATACCCGTGCTCGATCAACTCTCCGTCGCAGGCCAGAACCTCATATCAGCCGCAACCACCCAGCTTGCCAACACAAACGGCGCGACCGCCCAACCGGGCAACCTGTCTTCCTCCGGCGTCCTGGTTGCGGGCGAACCGAACAACGACGCAGAGGCAGAAGCCGAACTCCTCGCCTTCGAAAACAAAGAGCTCGAACCCTTTGTAAAACCAATCTGCGACATCTTCCTCGAAACATTCGAATTGAATCGCGAGAACAACTGGCTCCGAGGCCGCGCCGTCGTCGTAGTCTTGCACCAACTCCTCGGCGGGACCATTGAGCGCAAAGTCCGCGAATCCTTCGATAACCTACTGTCTGAGAACAACATCGTCAAGTACATCGACACGCTGAAGGACAGCATGTGGCCGAACGGCAGGATGAAAGTCGGCATTGAACGAACCAGCAAAGACAAAGAGAACAGTAGGAAGGCAGCAAGCGAGGTCCTTAGTACGCTTGTGCCCGAGTTAGCGAGTAGTGTGGTGGGGAGACAGAATGCGCAGTTGGCGGCGAAGAAGATTGAGGGGACTATTAATAATACACGGCTGAAGTAAGTTTACAAAGACGTTCCTGAGTGGATTAGGCTAACAGGGATGCAGTACGCACATTGCTTTTACGCTGCTGGACGAGATGGTTCAGGTTCTGTTTCCGGATGTTGGGGCGAAGTAATGTGATTACGAGAAGAGATAGTGTGGGGAGGTGTTGCATAATTGGCGTTGCTGTAGGTGTATCGGGACTATCATGGCGGAGTTATGGATTTATTCAATATTGTCTTTCTTTCCCGTCCTCTTTGATTGGTTTCTTTGCGGTTCATCCTTGCGTTCATTCTCCAATGCTCACTGGAGCCACTTGCTTGCTCCTTCCTTTCATGGCTATCGTTGCGTCAGTTTGCAGTGTCTGCCTGGACATGCTGCGAGGCTGAACCATTAAAACACTGGATTGGCCGATGCGCGCATCCGCATGCAGATGCAGTATGCACGCGTATCTGTTTGTCTTTAACTGGTTCCCGCTGTCGCACTGCTTTTGCAAGAACGCCAATATCCCACCTTCACCCCTCATCGACGCGCCGAAGTTTTGGCTAGCACCCCCACAGACGGTACAGCGAGTCGCTCCTTCCTTACGAGGACGCCATCAATACAATCTTGACAGCGACACATACTTTCGCAAATCTCATTCAAACTTACGCCTGAAATCACTTATTATGTGGGAACGCGGCGGCGGACGCAACACTCGCGGCGAACGTGGTGGAAGAGGTGGCAGAAGCGGAGATCGTGGTCGCGGTCGTGGTGGTGGTGGTCCTACCCAAGGCAGGCGCGACGGAAACTCACAGCACTCATCGAAACCTGCCAGAGTCCAAGAGACGGACGAACAGAGAGAGGCACGCAGGTCTTATGGGTCATGGAAGCGCCGCCTTGGTGAGGCAGAAACCAGTCCAACGACCATGCGACGTCTCTGGGAAGGCGCCTTCGGTATACTTGAAGCTGGAGACCGAGACTGGCGCCAACAACTCCCGCAAGATCTCAACGACGATTCGGACGATGAGAGTGGGCACCGTCATATGCTCGCCATTCTGAACTCGAGGGTCATCGGCGCAGACTACGACACGTTCCTCAGTAACGCCCGCCATTTTCTTTTGACGCTGACGCATCCCTCGCTCCTTCGATGTCTCGCGGTCGATACGCACGTCGGTTCCATCTACAACCTCTTTAGTGGTGTCGGTGGGCGGACTGCAGTCTCATATCTCCAGCGGATTTGTAGGGCTCTACTAGCAGCTCGAACAGCTTCTTCGACATCTACCAAGGACCACGAAACAACAATTTTCGCAATGTCGACGGCTCTATACGAGCTACTGAGACGTGAGCGTAGGGCGCGGTTCAACGACGAGATCACGCCAGTGGTGGACTCTATCCAGGCTGTGAGCGACTTCTACAAGGATTTGGCATCGCCAGACACCTCGAGCTCAACGCGAACAACCAATCGTCTCAATGATATTCGAGCCCTGGTAGCTAGAGCTGACGGACTCCTTGTCGATACTGCGGGTGAAAACGAGGTTGAAGACGACGGTGGTGGTGGTAACGCGTCGTTCTACCCGAGAGACCTTGTAGTCCCCTCGGATCGTTTTGACAACGACAAAAAAGATATTGGCGACATGGTAGTCTTCCCTACACGGGACGAGATCATGAGCGATTACAAGGAGTTCCTGCCTTATACCGACCCTGACCAGCCACACTTCCTTGAGGATCGCGTGCAACGCCACATCGATACCTACTTCCGTCTACTGCGCCACGATATTTTCGGTGAGCTGAAGGGGTCATTGGCTGGAATCATGCATGCTGTATCGCAAGACGCCAACACGTTGCTCCACCCCAATCTCAATCTAGGGGATATGCGCGCCAACCAGTACACCGGCGCTCGTGTTAGCTACGTCACGTTCGATAAGCGAATGGGCTTGCAACCCCAGATGGAATTCCTACAACCTGCGATAGTCCGCAAGAAGAATGCTAGTCAGAAGGTGAAGTGGTGGGAAGAGTCAAGACGATTCGATGGCGGGTCGCTTTTGTCCTTCATATGGATCCAAGACACTGTCGTGCAACATGTCTTCCTCACTGTATCCAACAAGACCACCGATCCGACAGAGGAGTATAGCTTGACACACCACAATCAGATGGCCTATATCAATGCAAGCCTGGTCACTCAAGATCGAACAACAGTCAAGATGCTCATGCAGGCCAGCATCAGAGCAACTCGCGGCATTCTACTAGAGTTTCCGAATGTCATACCGGCGACGTTCTCACCCACATTGGAGAGTTTGCAGGCAATGCAGCGACTAAATTGTCTACCGTTTCGGCAGTGGATCGTTCCGGACAAACACAGTGGCCGTCCACCAGCTGGTAGGACGCACGAGATTCCTCCGCCTCTGTACGCGCGTGCGCCTGGCTTCAAGTTCCCTGTCGCCGCTCTCCTAGAAGATGGGAAAAAGGAGGACTCGTTCTCTATCGAACCGACATCGTCGTGTGACGACCAGACGTTACTTGATAAGCTGGAAGCCAAGACGCAACTTGATCGTGGACAGTGTCGCGCGCTAATAGCTGCGCTAACCCGAGAGTTTGCCTTCATTCAAGGGCCACCAGGCACAGGAAAGAGCTTTTTGGGTCTCCAGATCATGCGGATACTGCTAGAAATTAAGAAAAAACGCAACCTCGGACCTATACTCATCGTTTGCTACACCAACCACGCCTTGGATCAGTTTCTCGAACACCTGATCGACATCGGCGTCCACAAGCTCATTCGGGTCGGCGGCATGAGCAAGTCCAAGAAGCTTCTCAACCATAATCTACGCACCATCGGCGAGTCGGAGTCGAAGACCAAGTCTGAAAAGTACATGGCGGCGATGAACTATAAGGATCTGGATCAGAATGAGCAGGAGGCCACGATGGTCTTTGGTAATCTCCATGGCTTATCAAAGCGTCCGGATTGGCATAAGCTCAAAGGCCATATCCAAGAGGAGTACCCGAAGATCTATAACCAGTTCCGGTCTGTCGATAATGAAGGCTTCAGAACGGCTGGCCGTCATCCATTCGATATTTGGATCGCAGGTACCGAGGTATACCAGTATGGTCCATCCCCATCTCCAGATGCGTTACGGCAAATCATTCGCCAGGCGACTACAGACGTGTTCTCTTTGAAAATGGTTGAGAGAAGCGCTATCGTTGCCTCCTGGGTGGCTGAAGCCCAGGGGAACAAGGTCAGTGAGCTTTACGAGATTATTAACGGCGCCGCCAAGACCCAACGCCAACTGAACAACATCCATGAGGAGCTGAACCGGCGACTACTGGAGGGAGCGGATGTGATTGGTGTCACCACGTCAGGCTTGGCAAAGCGTATCTCGGTCCTCCAGCAGGTGAGGTGTAAAGTCATTATCTGTGAGGAGGCTGGAGAGGTCATGGAGAGCCACATGATCTCGGCAATGCTTCCTGATGTTGAGCATCTAATCCAGATTGGTGATCATGAACAGCTTCGTCCCTCAGTCAGCAATTTCCGTGACTTGTCGCTCGAGAGCGAGCGAGGAAAGCTCCATGCACTGGATCGGAGTCAGTTCGAGCGACTCTCGATCGGCGAACCCGGGCGGCCTCTGATGCCCGTTGCTCAACTGAATGTACAACGTCGAATGCGCCCGCAGATCTCTTCACTGATTCGCGAAACCATCTACGATAAGCTACATGATCACCCATCTACCATCGAGCTGCCTGACGTTGTTGGTATGCGCCGCAACGTCTTCTGGCTTGACCACACCAACTTCGAAAACGAGAAGGACGCAGATACGCACAACACGAAGTCCAAGTCCAACTTATGGGAAATCAAGATGGTGCATGCCTTGGTCCGCCATATCGTTCGACAGGGCGTCTACAAGCCTGATGATATCGCAGTCCTGACCCCATACACTGGCCAGCTGCAGAGGCTCCGCGCTGCTATGTCTAGCGATTTTGAGATTTGCCTCAGTGATCGCGATCGAGAAGCGCTTGAGAGGGATGGTTTTGCGATAGAAGACGACGATACATCGAAGACCTCAGTACCCGCCCACGAGAGTTACCAAGGCAAGCCGCTAGAGAAGAAGCAATTGTCGGAATTACTGAGAGTTGCAACGGTCGACAACTTCCAAGGAGAAGAAGCCAAGATCATCATCGTCTCTCTTGTGCGAAGCAACGATAGACAGAATGTCGGCTTTCTCAAGACGACAAATCGAATCAACGTCTTGCTGAGTCGCGCTCAACATGGCATGTATCTCATCGGTAATGCAGACACCTACTCTAGCGTCGACATGTGGCAGAAAGTCATCGGAATGCTACGTGCGACCGAATCAGTTGGCAAAACCCTGGCTTTGCGTTGCCCTCGACACCCTGATACCGACGCTCAAGTGCAGCAACCCAACGACTTTCATAAGCTGAGTCCTGAAGGTGGCTGTAGGGAAGCGTGCGCCGATCGCCTCGACTGCGGCCATCAATGTGGGGCCCGATGCCACTCGGAAGCCATGCATGAGGTTTTCCTTTGCGAGCAGCCGTGCCAGCGCCGGCATCAGCCATGCGACCATGCATGCCAGAAGGCTACATGTGGAGAGCCTTGTGGGAAGTGTATGATCTTGATGGACCACGTACAGCTTCCATGTGGTCATGTCAAGCACGGCGTCGCCTGCCATATCACCCAGAATCCTACTCGCATACCCTGCGACGTCAAGATCTCGAAGCGTGTACCTGGCTGCGAGCACGATGTAGTCTTGAAGTGCTCGGTAGATGTCTCCAAGAAAGACTTCAAGTGCCCTACACTGTGCAACACACCTCTGTCGTGTGGTCATCCATGCCCCGGAACCTGCGCTCAGTGCAATACCAAGGATATGTACGATCAGCCGGTGGTGAAGCACGCTACTTGCAGGAAGACCTGTGGTAGAAAGCATGGGACTTGCAATCACGACTGTAATCGCCGATGTCACGATGGTACGGATTGCGGTCTTTGTCAAGCGCCTTGCGAAGTAAGTGATATCTATAAATTTTGTGACAATTTTCTAATCTCATTCAGGTACGTTGCAAACATACCAAGTGTCCACAGAGGTGCCACGAGCCCTGTGCTCCGTGCGTTGAGCCTTGTACATGGTCCTGCGAGCATAAAGGCGATTGCAAAATGCCTTGCTCGGCCCCGTGTAGCCGCTTACCATGCGACGAGCGATGCACCAAGCTTCTCCCGTGCGGTCATCAGTGTCCAAGCATCTGCGGTGAAGCATGTCCAGTCGATTACTGTCAAGATTGTGGCATGAAGCCAGACGAGCAGCCCGACATGATCATGATGTCTTGTTATGCTGATGTCGATCTGAATGAATCCCCCATCGTCGTTCTCGGTTGCGGTCATTTCTTCACCACTGAAACTTTGGACGGACTAGTCAGCCTCAAAGACGTGTATAGTGTCGATGCGAAGACGGGCGGCTTTACCGGACTGATTGAGGACGCCGAGCTTTCCGCATCGATTCCACAATGCCCGAATTGTCGGGAGCCTGTCAAGCAGTATGTCACCCAGCGCTATAACCGGCTCATCAACCGAGCTGTCATCGATGAGATGTCCAAGCGTTTCATCGTCAACGGTCAACAAGCCTTGCAGCAACTGGAGGGCCAGCTCATAGAAGTCAGGAAGGACCTCGAAAAGTCGCGCATGTCGGTTGTTCCCGATAAGCCAGTCCAACTCCGCGGTCAGGAAGCTCACGAGTTCACCATGCAGTCAATCAACGACGAGATTGGGAACCGTGCACAGGATACTATTAAGCTGCTGAATGCAGTCAAGGCCTTTCAGTTTAGGATGAATGTTCGACACCAACCGACCTACAAGCTGCACCAGGCGACTGTGCATAGTATGGCGCGAAGTGATCCACTGGATGTTGAGCTCGCAAGGTTAACAATCAACTCTTCCGAAAAGTCCGCCAAACGCGATCGCGATCAACGCATCACCCTGGGTGGTGGCCTACTCGAAATCAAGGTACGCTGTTTAGTGCTTGAGGAGAACTTCGAGATCATGCGTACTGTGAACCAGAAGCATTTCCAGAGTACCTTGCCTCTGAGTTTTCCCAGTGGCTCGCCCCTCGCAAGGACAGATCAGTTCCTCAAAGACACGAGGAAGCTCATCGATGATTGCACATGTGAGAGTTTACCTAAACTTGCGGTTGAGGCTATACTGCACTATGCCCGGATCGCACAGTTCTTCGGTAGTGCCCAGTCTAGTCGGAACAATGATCGGACGAAGGCTACAGACTACCGCGACACCGCCAAGGACCTGTTGATAAAGGCGGACAAGCTTTGTGAGAGTTCCTTCAGTGGACGGGATAACTTACGAAAAGCTGTCGTCACTGCATCGAAAATGCTCAGCAAGGAGTTCTACGAGGCGGTATCTAAGGAAGAACTGGAGTCTATCAAGAAGGCCATGGTCAGCGGACGTGGCGGTATCGCGACTCACTCTGGGCATTGGTACAAGTGTGTGAACGGCCATCCAGTAAGTCTCTCCTGTTTGATTCTACATGTCATAACCTAACACAACGCAGTTCGCCATTGGAGAGTGCGGCATGCCCATGCAGCAGGCGCGCTGTCCGGAATGCGGTCAGCCCGTCGGTGGCCAGAACCACACTGCCGTCGCTGGCGTATCGCGCGCGACGGAGATGGAGGATTGAGGAAAGATGGATTGGCGCTTCGGTGATATTGCGAAGCCTTGTGCATCGTTCCAGCCTCATGGAAACTGTTCTTTTGGTAGATGAGTGCCGTAGATCTCGATTATCTCCGCCCAAGCTCTTGAGATATAGCTGTATACTTTGTACGCTATCGTAATGCATCGGCACTGCTTTGAATCGTACTATCGTTGCAGATGTTGTTCGTGAATCGTGTTGTGGTTGAAACGATAGTACGTAATAAAGCGCGATAGCGAGACCCGCGCTTTATCTTTGACCCTGACTACCAACGGTCCTCGTCGACTTGTTGCAGAATCAGGCCTCCTGCGCCGTGGGCGGGAGCATGTGAAAATAACCACCAGCCGTTATTCGACGGTGGAATGACCAAAAGAACATGTGTTCCGTTATAAACGAAATGTGTTATGCAGATCAACCATGATGGCCAAGTTCACGATGTCTTGACGGCAGATGGGAAAACGGCGCTTGGTGTTCTGCTATCTGGGCAGTAGTGCCGAATTGCCGGCGACTAATTGCGATGTGCAGTGTCGCTTGTCAGTTTTCAGTTTGGCAATCCTCCCTTGGCACATCGCGACGAACATATGGCATTGGTGAGATTCCATACACGTCGTACCTAGAGGAACACCTCCGCGCTGCATTCCGTGAGCGCACTCATGGCGCAGCGCAGGCCACGCACGCGACAAAACGAGGCTGCGAAGAACACTAGATGCACCTCATCCGTCCCTGCAGCACGCGATTTGAGGCCATGTGGGCTGCCCTGGAGACGGCAACTCGAACCCCTGCCATGCTTAAAAAGTGGAAATTTGACCCTTCCACTAGCGACGTCGTCGGGCAATCTGATTGGCCTACTCAGAAGCTTCTCCGCGCTTCAAGGAGATGAGACACCTTGCCCTGAGCGCCGCCAACCGCCATCGCACGCCGGCGACTCTATCGCGTGATCACGATCTCGCTGTGTTTGGAGTTGTCATGGCCGTCCAGCGGGCGAACAAACGGGGTGCACGCAAAAGAAAAGAAACTGTCAACTGTCAAACGTCGCAAGAAAACTGGAGGGCCCCAACCAAACAGAAACAGCACAGCATAAAGGAGTCACCGCGATCAGCGAATCACTCTCGCTTGCGCTGCCAATATCCCCATTCCAATTACCATTTTGCGTCGCCCGCCTCAGGCCCCGTCACAAGATTGGTGTAGTAATCTTATTTTTCCCCATCCGTTAGCCGCTTTTCCCACTGGCCCCCGTCCCCCAAAGGGGACAACCACACAGGCGAGCAAACCTATCGTGAAGGGAGCGCGTGAGCCCTGTGCCCATAGTTTCAAATACAGCCGGGGATCCTCCCTTCTCATCTCTCGCTCTCTCTTCGTACCGCAAACCTTTACGCTCATTACACTTTTTTGCACCCTGCAGTTTTTACTGTCAGTTTGTCTGTCGCGTCGTCATCAAGAAGCAGACTTTCTCCACACTCTCTTATTAAACGCAACAGTCTGTCGGTCCGTTGCTGTCCAACACGTCATACGAAGCCCTAAACACACTCGCTGTAATTACGATCATTCAACACGAGACAAGACTATCAAGATGAAGTACAACACTATCGCGTTGGCGTTGGGTGCGCTTGCTATGGGCGTGAGCGCTCAGGGTGTTGCGTAAGTTTGGCCTGTTCTCCACATGTTTTCATCTGCGGTTGCTGCCTCACCCGCAAACGCAACGCGACTACCACGCGGCTTACCCGCGATAATTATCATGACTACATGTAGATCCATGCTAACATGCCGGTGACGTAGGCCCGAAGTCCAGTCGTCCGTCCTCATGGAGATCGCGCAGGCGATTCCTTCCGACCAAGTCGCGTACGCGATCGCCTCGTCGTCTGCTTTCGCCGCTGAGATGGCTTCCTCGCTCGCTGCTGGCAACACACCGGCCTGGTACCAAGCACTCCCTACCGACGTTCAGAGTCTGCTGCCCGAGATCTACCCGGCCATGGTCACACCGACACCGACTCCTACTCCTACGCCATCGTCGTCGTCGAGCGCGTACGTCGCCAAGAGCAGCAGTGTTGTTGAGACATCCAGCTCTGCCATGGTTACTCCCTACCCCACTGGAAGCAACAGCACCATGGCCATGCCTACCATGAGCGCCACCGGCAGCGTCACCGTCTCATTGAGCCCCAGCCCCAGCGGCAGTGCTTCGCCCTCCCCAGAAACCCCTCCTTTCGAGGGTGCAGCTTCCAAGATGTCTGTCGGCGCCGGTCTCGGTGCTGCGGTCATGCTTGCCATGCTCGCTTTGTAGACATACCTTGGCGTGTATACATACTTTGCTACTGTACCTTCGTAGCACTGGACCGCTGAGCATGGGTAGCGGCTGGTTGCTCCTTTCTTCACTCTAACGTTTCTTTACGACGCGATGCTCTTATCCTTCTTGGGGAAAATGATTCGCAATATACCTTTTTGACTTTTTTGTTGATTGACGAGGGGACGGGAGGAATGGCAGGGTGGATTGATGCATCTTTATGCGGTGGATTCTCCGGCTGGGATTGTCGTTTTTCACGCTGGTTTGGTGGATTCAAGGACGTGGATGTGGCCGGATGATGGATGTTGGGTAGATAGTAATCCGTAGTAGCTTAATATTTAATCAGTCGACGCAGAAGATGGAAGACCCAGCCAGATATGTGAGCCCGAAGATGAAGAGACGTTCAAGGTGAAACAGTCTAGTTATATAACGTTCTCGCACGTCCATGAGGGGGC